TTGTACTTGAAACTAGATAATAAAAAGTATAGATTGGCTACAAGTAGATTTAGAATGAGTTCTCATCAGTTAGCAATTGAGACTGGAAGACATACAAAGCCAAAACCAAAACCTTTAGAGGAAAGAGTATGTAATATTTGTAAAGATGTAGAGGATGAATGTCATTTCTTTTTAGCTTGTACAAAAAATGATGAGAATAGGCAAATATTATATACAAAAGCCCGTGAAATTTTACCTAACTTGGATTTACAAAGTGAAAATTTATTTGTCAATCTTATTTCTAGTAAAAATGTAACCTTGCAAAGACATATTGGCAAATTCATTTACCATTCATTTAAGAATTTAGCATGGTCATAATGCATTGTGTGTGCACCACACTATTATTGTTACCTTATATATTTTTATATATTTTTTGTATTTTTAGTTTAGTTGGTGTTTTGTAGTTTAGATATGTAGTCTACCATAGTTCTGACTAATGTAATCATGTTATGATACTATATGTCAATAAAAGTTATATATAATCCATTTGAAGTCCATGGTCCAACACAAGATATTTCACTTTTTGTGATTTTATAACATGGGGCCTATGAGGAATCTCCCCGACCTAGAAGTCACATTTTCAAAGTTGATAAGCACTCTCTGAAACCACATTTCTAGAATCTAGTTGCAATATTACTTGTAGACTTCAAATATGATATCACGTTGACTTTTTAAATATCTAATGACGTAGATCAAGATTATATCTAATCTATTGTAGAGTCATTTCCAATCCAACATTATAACAATGCAAAACGTCATTTTGGTGATATCTATATGAGTGGATTTTTTCAAAAGGATTCCCTGAAAATACTAAAAAGAACACAAGGACTGAAAGAGGGAACGGTCGTTTTTTAAAGTATTGCAAAATAACCTTAAGAACGTATAAAATCAAAAAGGTCAAGCTTCGATAAGGGTGCGAACCTGCGCGCGAAGATCCCATTGGATTTCAAGTCCAACGCCTTAACCCATCTATGCCTCAACCACTCGGCCATCACAGCTGCTAACATCATGATAAACCATGACATCTCATTTCTTCTCAGCCCTGTGAAACAGAAAGATGCTATGAGTATCAGAATGATCTGCTAATACACATACTAAAACCGTTACCTGGCATGGCATTTGTAAAGGAATTGTAACGATAAAGAGAGTAAAAATATTGGAAGTTGAAATCAGTTGAAATCCTAACTTTGTGTTCTGAAAAATATATATCTGATCAAATGTGGAACTTATTGATTTAAAATGCAGAAAAGTACGTTATCCAATAGTCGTTTAAACATTGACTTTTGAAAGTATTGCAAAAGCTTGAAAACCAAAGCTATGAAAAATGAAATCCGCACTGTTCGTCTGTTCGGTTCTTCAATCATAATATTCATTTCATGGAAAGTTAAAAAACATTCCACCCTTCAGTTGTTGTAATGTTATCAGTGAACTTGTCTCTTTCCTAAGATCTTATTATCTCTTGAACTCGTCCCTTCTTAATATGAAGATAATCTATGATACCGACAAAATAGGTACGCTGCGAGTAGGGTTCGAACCTACGCGGGAAGATCCCATTGGATTTCAAGTCCAACGCCTTAACCACTCGGCCATCGCAGCTGCTGATTTGCTACCGGAAAGCAGCTGTGATTTGTCATGCCCTTTTGCGGGGAGTAATAGGGGGATTTTCTGTATGGATGTTGACACAATTATAACTTAAAACAGGAATCCTATCGACAGAGGTTTTAAAACAAATGGTCCAAAAGTGGATTTCAAGTTCACGCCTTAACCCACCTATGCCTTAACCACCCGACTATCACAGCTGCTAATACACATACAAAAACCGTTACCTGGCATGGCATTTGTAAAGGAATTAAATGATAAGGAGAGTAAAAATGTTGGAAGAAAGCTTTTTTTAAAAAACTTTCAATCCTAACTTTGTGTTCTGAAAAATATATATCTCATCAAATGTGGAACTTATTGATTTAAAATGCAGAAAAGTACTTTATCCAATAGACGTTTAAACATTGACTTTTGAAAGTATTGCAAAAGCTTGAAAACCAAAGCAGTGAAGTGAACTTGTCTCTTTCCTAAGATCTTATTATCTCTTGAACTCGTCTCTTCTTGATATGAAGATTATCGATGATACCGACAAAATAGGTACGCTGCAAGTAGGGTTCGAACCTACGCGGGAAGATCCCATTGGATTTCAAGTCCAACGCCTTAACCACTCGGCCATCGCAGCTGCTGATATGCTACCGGAAAGCAGCTGTGATTTGTCATGCCCTTTTGCGGGGAGTAATAGGGGGATTTTCTGTATGGATGTTGACACAATTATAACTTAAAACAGGAATCCTATCGACAGAGGTTTTAAAACAAATGGTCCAAAAGTGGATTTCAAGTTCACGCCTTAACCCACCTATGCCTTAACCACCCGACTATCACAGCTGCTAATACACATACAAAAACCGTTACCTGGCATGGCATTTGTAAAGGAATTAAATGATAAGGAGAGTAAAAATGTTGGAAGAAAGCTTTTTTTAAAAAACTTTCAATCCTAACTTTGTGTTCTGAAAAATATATATCTGATCAAATGTGGAACTTATTGATTTAAAATGCAGAAAAGTACTTTATCCAATAGACGTTTAAACATTGACTTTTGAAAGTATTGCAAAAGCTTGAAAACCAAAGCAGTGAAGTGAACTTGTCTCTTTCCTAAGATCTTATTATCTCTTGAACTCGTCTCTTCTTGATATGAAGATTATCGATGATACCGACAAAAAAGGTACGCTGCGAGTAGGGTTCGAACCTACGCGGGAAGATCCCATTGGATTTCAAGTCCAACGCCTTAACCACTCGGCCATCGCAGCTGCTGATATCACGGGGTACCATCGAATAATTTTGACAACGTACCGGAGAACGACATTTTACTAAGAAATGGCAATAATTTAGCACAATATATTTTTTAACTAGACTTCTATTTTGATTTTGACAAAAGTAAGTATTCCATGCAATAACTATTTCATTCATGAGTTTGTAGGAATTCTGTTGGAACCCAGCTCTGATCAAGTACGAAGTTATTGAAATTGGCGCAGACGGACTTTACTCCGAAAGATGGTTTTTCGATTATAACTTTTCACAACATTTAAGTATAGACTTTTGAAAAAAGTACAGAATAGTCCTTATACTTTTGAATAATTCTGTTATTTCTGATTCACACGACTCTGATTTGTTTAATTAAAAAAAAAGTTTTAAAAATATTACTTAGGAACGTAACCGGAGCTGGGAACGTAACCGGAGCAGATCAGTTGAATTATTAAATCAAAAAATTAAAATATATGATTTAAAGCACATATACTAATTTAAAAACATACGGGATTGTTCGAATGCGTATTTATTAATATATATGCTTTAAATCATATATTTTATTTTTTTAAATTATATAATTCAACTGATCTGCTCCGGTTACGTTCCCAGCTCCGGTTACGTTCCTACGTAATATTTTTAAAACTTTTTTTTTAATTAAACAAATCAGAGTCGTGTGAATCAGAAATAACAGAATTATTCAATAGTATAAGGACTATTCTGTACTTTTTTCAAAAGTCTATACTTAAATGTTGTAAAAAGTTATAATCGAAAAACCATCTTTCGGAGTAAAGTCCAACTGCGCCGATTTCAATAACTTCGTACTTGATCAGAACTGGGTTCCAACAGAATTCCTACAAACTCATGAATGAAATAGCCATTGCATGGAATACTTACTTTTGTCAAAATCAAAGTAGAACTCTAGTTAAAAAATATATTGTGCTAAATTATTGCCATTTCTTAGTAAAATGTCGTTCTCCGGTACGTTGCCAAAATTATTCGATGGTACCCCGTGGATATGCGACTAGAAAGCAGCGGTGCTTTGTCATGCCCTTTTGCGGGGAGTAATAAGGGGATTTTCTGTATTAATAGAGAGATTCCGCACATAAGTGAAAGTACAACTTATACGTATACGTATAGTTTAAAGGGTCATGTCGAACTATTATATTTACTAAAATCAATTTTAAATTGTACTTAATGGAACATAACTATTCCCGATATAGAAAAGCTCCATCAACTAGAGACTGTGAATGCACTGTCATCTGCACGTGTAGATTATGCACATTATAATTAAATGCTTGCTTCTGTGTCCTAGTAGTTGTAGTGTATTATAAACACGATCCTTTAAAGTGAGTCATTGCATAAACAAGTTGATTATTTCAAAGTTTTCATGATCAGTATAAGTTCAATGAACTTACAAAACGGTATTGGACAAATCAATGTTAACTAAAATGGTTGAATTGAAAAGGAAGGAAGGTGTAAAATGTTAGAAGTAATATTTTTTAATAAAAACACTTTCAACCTAACTTTGTTTTCTAAAATAATTTTAGAATGCATAAAAGTATATCCCTAAAAGTTAGAACATTTTGAAAAATCAAAGCATCTAAAAAATTAATGAAATCCGCACTGTTTCTTCACAATATATGCATTTCATCACAGTCAGTATTCAGTTATGATTTGGGAAAAGCCCAAATCATAACTACATACGTACTCCATGGGATGGGGTATGATTGCCAAATTTTTGATCGTGGCATAAACGAGCCAAAAAATTGTTTTTAAGATTTTTTTTGAATTACTCAAAAAATCGATGTAACTTCCTTCAAAATTGAGCTAGAAGTTTTAAATAAAAGGTATTTTAAAGCTCTTTTCTTCTTCTATCCTTTGTAAAATTCAAAACTTTCTTTCCTTTTCAATTTCTTTAACAAACCCAATGACAAAAAGCAACGTATGACAGCTGCGATGGCCGAGTGGTTAAGGCGTTGGACTAGAAATCCAATGGGATCTTCCCGCGTAGGTTCGATCCCTACTTGCAGCGTAACTTTTGTCGGTATCATCGATAATCTCAGAAGGGACGAGTTCAAGAGATAAGTAGATCTTAGGAAAGAGACAAGTTCACTGATAACATTACAACAACTGGAGGGTGCAATGTCTTACCTTTCCATGAAATGTATATGTAGGCCTATGATTGAAGAACCGAACAGACAGTAGTGCAGCTTCCATTTTTAAATGTTTTGGTTTTCAAGCTTTTGCAATACTTTCAAAAGTGAATGTTTAAACGTGATTGGATAAAATTGTACTTTTCTGCAGTTTAAGTCATGATCAATAAATTTCACCACGGGCTTTCAAGAGAGAAAGCCCATGATTCCACATTTGATCAGATATTTATTTTACAGAAAACAAAGTTAGGATTGAAAGTTTAAAAAGCTTTCTTCCAACATTTTTACTCTCTTTTTCACTTAATGCGATCTTTTTTACAAATGCCATACCAGATCGTTTTTTTGTAGTAACTAGCTACAAGTAGCTGTGATGGCCTAGTTGTTAAGGCGTTGGACTTGAAATCCAATGGGATCGAACCCTGCTCGCAGCGTAATTTCTTTTGATTTGACAGAACAACGTTCTTCGTACCACCCAAGACGTCCTTGGTCGTACGAAGTATGCTTCTTATTGGTCAAGTTACAATTTGTTATGATGTAACAACTATAGTAACAATAGGAGTGTGGTTGCAGTTTACATGGACCCTTCGTCGTATCGCAGATTATTATCTGGAAAGGGCGACGTCCTTCTATCACATTTTCATCAGACAACGTTGACCTTGAGGCATGACCCTGACTTTCCATGAGATCCAAAGACTCCAAGGTGCAAGAAGGGAATTCAAGAAATTGTCGTTCCAGACGAGCGACGACCTTACTTTTGAATTTAGGTGACACTGAAATGAGTAAGCTTAAATTAAAGGTTCACACTGGAATAGCCTGACAACGATAAGGTCAGATACCGTTTGTCACAAATGGCGGACATAATAGTCGCTTCAATTAGATTTTCATGGACTCTATGTTTATTAGAGCACCTAGACTAAATTCCTTTGGAACAATAATCAATCAAAGTGTCTTAATACTTATTGTACAGTTAATAATGTTCTGCCGATCAAAATGAGATACGGGACAACGGACACTGTAATTACCATACGCCGCTGTCTTTCTAAATCATTCAAATTCAGATTCCGTTGTCCTTGACGATATCGAAGACGCTATATTGTGGCGATTCACGACCCAATTTGATCGAAATTGGGATTTCATATGAAACATCATCACAAGAGCTAAATACATGCACAGAATTAGCGACGATAAAATCCCATGAAATGAGGACCAAGTGATTAAACAGTTGAAGCGACGGTTATGTCCGCCATTTGTGACAACGGTATCTGACTTTACCGTTGTCAGGCTATTCCGGTGTGAGGTTCTCACGTCAAGGAAAATCGTGTCAATATTCTGAGTTTAAATAACTCAGAGTGAAGTATATTGGTAAAATTCTCATATTTTGCGTCCCAAAAAACGCAACACGCAAAAACATCGTAAAACCACAAAAACAGTAATGATTTCATCAATTTTATTTTTTTACCATGAAGGCGCGTGTCTTCTTTTTCCAATGGTATGTCATTTATTTATATATGACCACAGACCACTGAATAATCATTACTTTTGTACAACGGGACAAAATCTGCTCTGGACCAAGTTTTAGACATTGCAACAGTTAGCAGAAAATCACCAATGAGGTTGCTGCTCTCTGTCAGAACCAACAAATGATGATTCAAAGAGGTATTCTTGACTTGGAGAGATGAGCTAATCTCTGGGTGTAGATATCGTGGCCATGTGGCTTCAGTCCATATATACGATGCTATCATGTCAGTACTACTCATGTCACCTAATAGTCTCTAGTGCTGTTTTTTCAACGGTGCTTTTCTCAAGCTGGAATACCCTGACAACGAACGATAAAGTCAGATACCGTTGTCACAAATGGCGGACATAACCGTCGCTTCAATTAGATTTTCATGAACTGTATGTTTAATAGAGCACCTAGACTAAATTCATTTGGAACAACAATCAATCAAAGTGTCTTAATACACAGTTAATAATGTTCTACCATCGAAATAAAGTCTTTTTAATTTAACCGATCAAAATGAGATAGGGGACAACGGACACTGTAATTACCATACCATATGCCATTGTCTTTCTAAATTACTCAAATTCAGATTCCGTTGTCATTCACGATATCGAAGACGCTATATTGTGGCGATTCACGACCCAATTTGTTCGAAAATAGGATATCATATGATACATTATCACAAGAACTTAATGCATGCACAGAATTAGCGACGACAAAATCCCATGAAATGAGGACCAAGTGATTAAGCAGTTGAAGCGACGGTTATGTCCGCCATTTGTGATAACGGTATCTGACTTTACCGTAGTCAGGCTATTCCAGTGTTTCTCTTGTGACGGTCTCTGGTGTTTTTGTAGATTCTTTTTATTTTTGTTTTTCTGAAAACCACTAAAGTTCCTTAGCTTGTAACTTATTTACATTTATTTGCGTTAGACAATTAAAATCTTTTTGATTTCATCAAGGTTGTAAAAGCGTAGTTCAACCTTTTGTTGATGTCTGGTTTTAGAGTTTTGTTCAGACCTGACCTGGCTTCATGGTATCATCACTGGTTTTGTGTCTGACAATGTTTTTACTTGTTACGTTTTTGGGACACAGTGTATAACATCATTCATGTTTACTGAGATGGTGGAGCTGCCATGTATCCGATCATGTCATTTGTATTCACTAAAATGTAGGAGCTGCCTTGTATCTGTCATTGTTTAAAATAGCATGGCGTGCAACTGTGCAAGGTCATCTTTTTTCTAGCTTCAATATTTACTCAAAACAAGCTTTGTCTAGTAATTTAATTATCTAAGATGTTTCCATTAATTTTTGTTCTATTACACACAGTGCCTCTAAAATGGCTCTGTCTTAATCGTAATTTGTCCATGTCTAGATTGAGTACATTTATATTCAATTTGATAAAATGGTTCTGCCTAAATAGCTATTTTTGACCAAATGAATGCCCCACTTTCTGTTAACATATTTGTGGGATTGTGGACAATGTAATTTGTAGATGATGAGTGTTGTTAGTGATTTGGTAATAATATAAGACGATATGTTCAGTGTTCACAGGATTTTTTCTCAAGTGGATGCGAAATTCTCAATTTCTGTTTTAACAATTCACACCTAAATTGGTCAAAATATGCCCATTTTTCATGATTTTTCTCATTTTCAAGTGGGTGCAAGCCTGTTTTTAAAATCTTAAGTGGGTGCTGCGCCAACCTGCTTTATTGCTGGGGAGATCACTGTGTGTGCTTTAGAATAATATTTTATTTGGTTGAGAGTTTCTAATGATTTCTGGAAAAGTAAAATCATAGCTCAAACTATCAATGCAAAGTTATCTACTAACTATGGTGATTTTGGATGACATATCTAATATACTAGCGTACTCAATACTCTCAAAACTGTCAGTTTTTCAGTAGTAAAAGTAGCACAGTCCAATTTATTGGGATATCCACAAAGGGTTTTTTATTCATCTTATTTTCCATTTTTCATCACTGTTGATATCAGTAATATGACACTCGTTTTAATGAGCCAATGTTGTCTGCTATGTATCATTTTGCTTTCCTTTTGGAATGTTTCCCAAAAACATGATTTTTTATTCCATCTATTGGTCCTGAGGTTCATCTTGATCAAAGTCTCGATACACTGGGCCATCCATAGTTTTACCACTAAGCACATCAGCTAACATATGCTTTGGAATCTCAGAACCTCTGATCTGTAGCGTATAACACGCAGTCTCCACCTTCTTCAAACTCTGTTGCAATACATTTAACTTCCGCCTAATCTCCCGGTGAATATTTCCAAATGATATAAATGCATTGTGGATTTCCCGCATGAAATCACATAGCTGGAAGAGAAAGTTTGCGTTTCCAGTCTTGACACTGTTGATTGCAAGCCTCATAATTTCTCCAGTAAGGTCGGCGACACCTAGGATATAGTCCAGGGGAGTCACTAAGACTTCTATTGTTTTTATGGCAGAGATTTGGGAGTCATGGTAACTAGATTCACATGAAGCACTATCAAGTGGTTTAACTGGTTGGTCTTGTATATCTAATTTCGGAAGTTTTGGATTCTCAACATTTGGCAGTGTACTGTTTGACGTTTCATCTGTAGGGCAATTCTGGAAAATACATATTAACAGGAAATCATAACCTAGTATATTCAAATATTAAAAATCAAAGTGTTCCTGTCTGTACAATCACAACTGGCATATTTATTAGGATAGGAAGGGAAAAAAATCAAAATCGAAGACAAGAGCAGACATTAATTGCTCCGCAGAACACATACACATTGCCATGGCAAGCAATAATACATGTACATTATCATTACATCATAGTAATGGGCATTCTGATACTCATAGCATCTTTCTGTTTCAGCTGAAACATGCTCTGATATTATGAGGCATATTTTGTGATCTGAAACATCAGATGGGAAGAGTTATAACTGTCAATAAGTGTGATAGTTATTATGTAATTATTTACCTTAATGTCAATACATTACATCATAGGCATTATATTTAACAGCAGATATTAGCACAGGCACAGGTCCACAAGTTTTATGACCCCACTTAGATGAAATATGAGCTGGGATGAAAGATCTCAAAAATCAATTTTGGACTCTCCTGAATCGCCAAATCAATCTCATTATATCATGGTATCTCAGGGCTGAGAAGAAATGAGATGTCATGGTTTATCATGATGAGTAATGGGCATAATATAGCAAAATGAAGCCTTAAATCTGACCTTGATGTAAATTTCATATCGATGTCCTGTTAATTTATAGAGCATGACTACCATTAATTATGGGACACCCTGTAATATATCATTGATTGACAAAATATTTCTTGTTATCCAATTCCCAAATGCCACTTTACCTGTGTGAACTGTAACTGTCGTTGTATGGTAAGATGATTTGTGAGACTCTGATCTTTGTGATATTGGAAGAATGTTACTGCTTCAATATATTCCTGCATGCCTAAAACACAGAATAACACCTGATAATATTCAATAATAATAATGCTGCCAATTTATAACTTCCCTCAAAATAAAGGCCCAGTGGCACTAATTGAAAGTGCTTTCAATAAATGAACAAAGTCTACACAATGAAGCAGCCTTGTTATAAAAAAATCATGCACAGACCTATTACATGCAGGCTTACATAACTAAAAATATAAAAAGTATTCTTTCTCTAAATTGTCCAGTTGCTGACCTCAAATTAACATTTGTGTTAGTCATATGTACTTTATACCTGCAGTATAAGCTTTAAGGAACTGATAGGGGTCTTCCCCATCTAGCTCTAATGCGATCTTTCTGAAGTGGTCATCTTGAATTGCTTGTAGTTTTGTATCTGCCTCTTTTAAGACATTGTTTTTGTTCTCGTCAGTGCCGCTGGAAAAACAGGAGTAGAAATACAACACTTGAATTTGGACTACATGGGCCATATGCATTCAACTGTATTTATGAAAGCTATGGAGATTTTTACCAGACCATGTGTGAGATAAATTATAATTGAAAAAGAAACCAACCAAAAATCACAAAAATAAGTAACAAGGCATTAACAAGTAAAATATCACCACCTGCCATTTGTTACAGATGCCACCCACCAAATGCCGACCACCATCCACTGATTACCAAACACTGTCCACAAAAAGTTGGAGATTATATTAATATGTCAAATTTTGGAAGTTATAATTTGTTGGGTTTCCTGATGTAGATTATCTTTAATAAATCTTAATTATCTTTAGTAAAACATCATTGGTATCATTTACTACTCGTTTAGAATTTCATGAAATTCATGAAGGTTTTCTTCTTATATTATACAAACCCAGCAATTCTTTGTAGCAGAAATATAACTCTTTTGCTTTCAAGTGTAACATCACGACTTAATTTGACCAATCGCTCATGTTTATCATGTTTGGTGTCGAGTTCATTCTGGTATTGCTTGAAAGCCTGTATGATTGGACTTGATTCATCAACAAGGTTTATATCTGTATTTGAGTCTTCCCCATGTGTCTGGCCATCTTTGGGTGCCTTCCCACTACGATTTCTATTACCTGAAAATGCAGAGGGAAAATTATTTTACTAATAAATGTCCATAAGTATCAAAAAGTAATATCTAGATTTTTGTGTAACTGTTCACAGAATATAGATTCTCAAACTATTATTCAATGAACTAGTTTGACATTGTTTTTACCAAGGAAGACGTCCTTGTTTTTACCAAGGCCAAAGTGTACGCAAACTCATTGCAAATCATACTCAAAAACAATTCATTTCCTTGTAAGAAAATAGGTAATTTGTACATGACACAAAGAACACAGAAAGATCTTGATCATAAAGAATGTATCCTTCTTCCAGAATAATTGGTATAAGGTGTATGTCTACTTTCACTTTCGGTTTCACTTTCATAAGGAGTAATTAATTAACAGTTATTTAAAATGTGATTAACGTTGCTCACGTAGTAACAGTATACACCTCAGTAACATCAATTTGAAGTATACGAGTAATTTGTATGGTTGACGCGTTTTTTTTTCAAATACTATTCCATATTAACGATTAAATACGCCATAAACTAGAAAATTTGGAATTTTACCTGGCATTTTCGAAAACGAAAGTTGACTGTTACTCGTTATAAGTTTTGCAACAGCTATCTATTATTCCATTTATTTACAAATTTAGAAAAGCTTACGTCTGTTACTCTGATCTATTATTTAAATATATAAACAATAGTATCTTATTGTACTATTTAAATCATTGAATCATGTTTTAAAATGTCATATAACCATGTTTATGTTTTGCGAATTTTGAACCCCGCGCGGAAGGCAACTTCCGCTTCGGCGCAGTGGTTGACCTTCTCAATGGCAGCAATTTTGACATCGTCCCGGTGTATACCGAGGCATTTATGCCGAATTTCGACAAATAATGTAAAAACTGCAAGTAAACAGGTAGGTCTGTGCACAGTTGAACTTTCGGAGTTGTTTAAAATCTAAGTTTCGAGAACATAGTTGACCGGATCTCGGTGGCATTTGATGTTGAAAAATACATCTTCCAAAGTTCTTGTTCATGTATTTATTTCCCAATTCATCTGCATTATTGAATCATTGACATATACAGTTTTGATTGTTGATTTATTAATAAGTAACCTTCACTTGTAATCTAGTTGACAGTTTTCTTCTCCCCTATTGCATAAGAACAGGGAAGCTTGCATGGCTTGTTGTGTACTGATTTCGATCTGAACCCTGTCAGTCCAATGATTGACTTATTTTTTAAATTTTGCCCAATCCTTCAATTTTTTCTTTATATATTGTAAGTTTGGCCATCTCAGCATTATATCTCGCCTTATCCCAGGGGCGGATCTGGGAACCAAGAAGGGGGGGGCCCAAATTTCAGGTCAGACAAAGAAATGTCCGCGCTTGCGCGGAAAAAAAATTTTGGGCCCTTAAAACGCAAAAGTGGGCCCACATTTTGGAATTTTGAGGCCCATTTTCTTCAAAATTTGGCCTGAATTTAAAAAATAAGGCCTTAAAAGGCCCAGTAATGACCAAAAAGGCCAACTTTTTGGGGCCTTAAGGCCTTTTTTGGCCCAAAATTTTTTTTGGGCCCAATTTTTTTTTTCTGGGCCCACCCAAGGGGGGGGGGGGCCGGGCCCCCAGGCCCCCCCCCTAATCTGCCAGTGTATCCTGTACCAGGACTATAGTCCTGCATTGAGAGCATTCTTTTGCCTGTACGATTACAACTTGGGAGAATTATCTACGCCCCTTACACTTAAGATACCTACTTCAATTGATTCCTGGGTATTTTAGCATTCTTTTCGTGTAGTTGAATCCACAATTGCCTGGGTACATCGCAGAACGGGAACATTTTTCTTTTTCATCGAGAGCTATTCCATCAGTTTCCAAGATGGCGGTTGGATTTAAAAGGGGATTCCCCATTTGACTGACCCGGAAGTGGCCCGGAAGCACCAAAAATGGAGGAATTTGACGGTTGAAATAAGTTAAATATTACACGCAAATATTGTGATTAAAAACGAAAATTTCTTTGTTCTGTTGATAAACCCAGACAATTGTGGATTCAACTACAAGAAAAGAATGCTAAAATACCAAGGAATCTATCGAAATAGGTATCTTAAGTGTAAGAAGCGTAAAAAATTCTCCCATGTTGTAATCGTACAGGCAAAAGAATGCTCTCAATGCAGGACTATAGTCCTGGCATGGGATAAATCTCGCCAACCTTCGTCAGTTCACAAGTCATCACATAAAAGTGAGTAAATTCCATCCAATTTTATAAATCGAGATTTCTCCCTTGTTTTTCCTAAATTTGATTAGCCGAGAGATTCTAAGAATTTGACGTAACCAGAACAGAATGGACTCATCCATATGTAGGGAGACAAAGTAGGTCTAACCCCGCTGCCATCTTTTAATAAAATGGCGAGTTCAGATATTTTCACCCTTGTTAGATAAACTCATCCAATACAAAAGTTTGAATCCTGAAATCACTCAAATATAAGGCCAAAAGAATTTTTTTGAGAAAATGACTGACCTGGCATTCAATATTTCTATTGATTTTTGAGTATTTCTGTTACTAGCTATGGAATGGATGAATACACGCTACCATAAACCTCCGTGATACATTGAATGTTAGTAGGCTGAATGATTTAACAGGAGTATTTGAACATTTTCAGAAAAATCAATTTTTAGACTGACAAAGTTCAGATCAAAATCAGTGTAAGTTTTTGCATTTGTGATCAAGGAGAGAATTTAGAAATCGGTTTAGTTTGATTTTCATGACTTTGCGGAAGACCTTCTTCTTGATATGAAAATCATTTTTGTATCATTTTTACACTTTGAGGGTCCTTGATTCTGTTTCCGCAAGAGGCATTGAATTAGGCACACTTTCTTTCATGTCCTTATTTGGCTTGTCACACTATGCTCACATTGCTCAGGCATTGGTCATCGCCTGGATGTGCCTTTAGTCTGTATCTGACAGACTGCCGGAAGTCAACGTTATGTACTGATCTGTGGAAATCACAGTGAAATTTTATGCACAAAATTATCAATTTGAAGAAACATAACTTCCCGAAAATAAACTGTATTCAATTAAGTAGTAAAGTACAATTAAATGCTGCAAAAAGTAACAGCATATTGTCAAGTGGAAATACAGTTTACATGTAAAGCTAGGGAAGTAACAAATATGCAAATAAATTTACCACATCAGCCATTTTGAAAAGCACTAAGTCTTCCTATTTAAACAAATATTTTTTCAATACAAAATATTTACATGTGGGCTATATTCTGACATTTTCAGTCAATTTTCAAAAAATGTAAGAACTAAAGATATAGTCCAGAGGTGCCCTCAGGTTGTTACAAAAGTGCCTGATGTATCTTCTAACATAAGGCTGTTATCCCGAACCTTGCCTAACATCAACAGTTTTAGCTCTCCTATATCAATATATTCCTGACTATATTTAAGATCTATAAACTGTATAAAAACAGTTATGTCATTATCTAATGTAATCTTTAAATATTTTATTAATTCATATGCTTGTAGATAAGTGCACAGACAAGATCAAAGCATGTGTTGCCAAGTAAGTCGTAAACTATTTACACATTATACTAGTATGCTGATAGCACTAGCTTTGAATTTGATAGACACATTTAGGTGACTAAAACAATTTCTTGTGAGCTTTTATCATAATACATAATACTGTACATGGGACAGGGGTACGAACTTCCTGATTTTATGAGTTTTGGAGTTGTGGTTGAACAAAATATTTGCAAGCCTCATTTGAAAATCTTAGTGGGTACAGTGACAACATGCTTTAATTCTAGGGAGATCACTACCTTATGTTTCACAGTAAATCCATTGTTTCGATGTAATGGATAGCAGGCCCATAGCCGGCTTTTCTCAAGGGGGTTAACTTTTCAAAAAAATCCAGGGGGTTCATATTTGAAATGGGGCACACAATCACCTGTTGAAAAGTGTGAAGAATGGTGAAAAAACTGCCTGATTTTGAAAGAATTTTTGGTTTGTTTGAACCCCTGGCTATTGGCCTGAATTGACCATACTATGGTACTTTTCTCTCCACCAGTCCATTTTTTTATATCTATAACTGATTAACCAACCACATACTTCACTTAACATGTAGAGTAAAACTCAGATAGGACCTAGAGAATTACATTTATCTACCACTAAATCATTGAAATCAATATCATTTGATAAGTTCAAAACAAATATCTATGCAACAGCTCTTCTATCTTTATCAAGGGTTTATTGGCTTGTACATATTTTATCAATGATGATATAATTATAGATGTTTATTTACAGATGCTAGAAATACAAGACCTTTAGTGGCTGCAAAGGCCTTGACACAATCTAAGTGAGTAAACATTTATTTTTGAAATTAAAGTTGAATTTCTATTTGTACAGAATGTAGTTATTGAATATCATAACTTACTGAAGAATCAAGGTTTGATATATAATATGTTCTTATTGACCTTGGAATTTGATGAAATTGCTACTCTTGAATTAGGGCATCAGATCACTCAAGATAAGATAAGACTTTAAATTAGTAAGGGTTCATTTGGCCTTATATTTAAACATGACAATGTACAATTTGAAATAATGTATTCTTAATAAATGATAATCCACTTATAAAATCTACTTTTTATTTGATTGTAGTTCATCAGCTTTATGTGAGAGACAAATACTCCTAGAACAGAGCAGATCATTTAGAGCCACATCTGTTGTATGTAAGTGCATTATAATTACAATGTACCTGTATAACTAACAGTACCATACCATGTAGCCAGTCTTGCCTCCCAAAAATTTACAGAAATGTGTTTTTTTCTTGGACATATTTTCAACCACAACTGTTGAAATGAAATCCAAACAAGCATCTTAAATAATATTTATGAATTAATTCTATGTGAATCATTTTCTAGAATGTTAAAATTGAACTTGTATAGTGTTTGCAGTGTTTAATAAACAGTTTTTAACCTACAGTTAAACCTGTCTAATTCTAACACCACTGAGACTCGCCAAGTGTTCAGAATCACAAGTGTTCACACTCAACTTTTTAATATATTTGTAATAAATGCCATATTCAAAATTAGACCAAAATGCATTTACATTGAGAGGTGTTATTAAAGAGGTGTTTGAATACAGGTTTTACTGTATATGTTGTATACTTTGTGCTGTAAGTGATGATATAAAGAGGTGTTTGAATAAACAGGTTTTACTGTATATGTTGTATGCTTTGTGCTGTAGGTGATGATATTAAAGAGGTGTTTTAATACACAGGTTTTACTGTATATATTGTATGCTTTGTGCTGTAGGTGATGATGTCCAGACTGTACTCAGCCCACCATTTGCTGACTCTATTACAGAGGGGGACATAAGATGGGAAAAAGGTATGTCTTAATGGAACAATAGATTTCATCAATTTTGACTAGTAGGTCTAAAGTCTTTATAAATGCTTGCTTTCAAATCCTACTGACTACATTTATATTTTATCTATTAGTGATTTACATATTTATTGATTGATGTACTGCATTGTTGACTGTTCCAGCTGTGGGAGATACTGTATCTGAAGATGAAGTGGTGGCTGAAATAGAGACTGATAAGGTAAGCGCATTAACATTCATGTGTGTGCAAAGTAATTAGTTTTTTGTGCTTTTCACTTATAAGATAAGCATCATTGATCACTTCTTGAGTTTTCTTATCACTATGCAAAATCTTCATTTTTCCTGCTTTACAAAAACTCAACTGGGACAAATGGTAGATATTTGCAAATATCAAATTTGAAGTGGCTGATTTTCTAAACCAAGAATATTTTTAGAATTTTTTTGTAATTTTGGGTTTTCATTAAGAAATATTAGTATAGTAATTATGTCGTATTTGGCTTAAGCATTTGTTTAGTATTTATTCACAAAGGGCTTTGTTTTTCAGTACATGGGATAAAACTCTGAGATCTGAAAACAACTACTAGAAAAAGATGGCACCAGAGTGATAGAAATAAGTCAATTTCTCTTTTTTCATAAAGCACATGATTAACATGTATTCTACTTTGCATTTGCAGACATCTATCCCTGTGCCTTCCCCTGGAGCAGGTGTTATAGAAGAGTTCCTTGTAGAAGATGGTGACACTGTTGTAGCCAAAACACCCCTCTTCAAAATCAGAATGGGAGGTAAGTTATGTTAATGATTCGAACATGACTGTATTCACGACTCCTATAAACTGTGAACAAAGTCAACTTTCACCGGGTGTATTTGTTGATATAACACCTGCTCTTAGGTCTATATTTCTTAATTCTGATATGATTTTTGACATCACAATATCTAGAACAATTGATTTACTGGTCAATAATCAAGTATATAGACCAGTATGAGAAAGTTATTCTAAATTAAAGATTTGCATCTATTTAGTGTCAGCCTGTATGAATGAATACTACTGTACTCCAGGTATTTTGCGCTTGCGATTTAATTTTGCGCTTTTTAATTGATCTTCACTAAGCAACGATGTCTGTTGCAGTGGCTTATGAGATCAAATAAACCAAAAAATGCCAATGTAATAGAGGCTAAGGTGCAGTGTGCCATTGACCAAGATCTAGTAGTAATTGTAAATCTTATCCAAATATGACATAAGGTAGGTGTACTCGTGTTTTCTCAAAATTCGCAAAATTAACCAGGAGTACAGTATATTGTTAATGACCCATAAATCTAGATTTAATTGAATGATGCTTTCTCAGCTCTCTTGTTATTATCAACTAATCAGTACTACTTAAATATTAACCTCAGCAACCTTCTAATTCCAGGTGCCGGTGATGCTCCAGCCCCTAAAGCTGTAGAGGTTCCTTCCCCTGCTGCCTCAGCCCCACCCCCTGCAGCCCCAGCTCCTGCAGCTTCAGTGGGACCTATCCCCACCACCCCACCACCACCACCCCCCATGCCTACTGCTCCAATGTCCTCCACCCCTACTAGCGCAGTTAAACCAACCCCAAGATCTGATGAAGGCCCTGCACCCTCCATTCCGGGTCTCAGGTCTGAAACTAGGGTAAGGGAATGAATTCTTTTGACGCGGAAAATCTTAACAGTTAAATGATATGCTAGCTATTCAAAATATAATTATCCCATCGAACGAAGTTCGGAGGGATATAGGGAACGCCTCCGTCCGTCCGTCCGTCCGTCCGTCCGTCCGTCCGTCCGTCCGTCCGTCCGTCCGTCCGTACGTGTTCTTGAATGTGGGTATTTGTGGTTGTTCGGGTAGTAAAATAAATAGCTTCTGTGGTTAATTTTTTTGTGTGGTTATCCACATTACAAAAGCTCTCAATGGGTGTAAAAACCCATCTACTGTGGTATTTTGGATTTTCAGGGAATGCCACACAAGAAGTGTCTAAGTGTCCATAAATGGACTATGTCCATTATTTGTCCATGACTCCACAAAATTTTCAAATTGCCCTCCTCTATTACATCTCTGTACTAGATTATGATTGGAGAAGGAGCATTCACTGAAAACCAATCAGAGACCTCATATCTTTATCAAATTTGCATATTTGTAATCTTTGTTTTCATTGGTCAATTGAATTAAGAAACAAAATGGAGGGCTTCTAACACACATGTGAGGTAAGAACATTCCCATAATTTTATGATTTATGCATAAATCACCAATGATTTATAAGAACTTTGACAATAAATGAGAAAGAATAAGTCAGTTAAAGATGTAATGAGTATGAATTTCCATAACAAATAGAAAAATGGTCATTTTTATCAAATGCAAGTATATTGATTCCCACACAAGGAACTGTATTACACCCAAGCTTGTGAAATTATTTCAATGCTCATGTTATAGACCTTGCGAAAAGCTCCGGGGTTTGCCGGCGACCGGGGGTTGTCAATTTGCTAAGGGCAAAAAAATTCTCAATGGGAATTTAACATTTTGGGGTCGGCAGGGTTGACGGGGTCGGCATTATTAAAGTGCCGGGGTTGTGACAAGGGGAGATTTTGGGGGCAGTTTGTGGTGGAAATTGTGCCGGGAGGCTGTCGGGGGCCTGCCAGGGGCAGGAAAAATAATTTTAAAAATTAAAAAATCTTACCACAAGTACATTATTCTAATGTATGAACATTATTTTTTCAGAGAAATTGTACAGTGTATCTGTTATATCAAACCACAGTTATGACTTTAAAGAAGCATGCAATATTAAATCCCTTACATATTAAAATCAATGGTGTACATCCACATTGGATTAAAATTATATTATTGATGTCATGGTTTCTCAGTGGAGACGATTAGGTCATTTAACGTTTATCTCGTCAATTAACGTCGTTGTAGTTGATTGACGGATACTACGTTAATTGACGTTCTATCTTTTTCAATTGCGCATGTGTAACCAATCGCGTCAGTTGACGTGTAACATTTTAATCAACGTGCGGGAACGTTAATTGTCGCTAGGTTATTTTTTATTATCGCCCATTACAAAGATGCCTGGCCGCAAATTCAAATATACCTCCATCCTAAGTACTTTTTGATAAAATTGTCAATGTTTCAAAGTGTGAGAATCAATGAAAAGCATTTATTAGTCTTTTGTTCAATTGTATTTTTATTTATTTACGATTTAATTTCGATTCATAACTGGCAGACTTTACGTCTAGAAGTCCCGGACCTCTTCCCAAATTAAACAAATTATTCAGCACATTGTTAAATTAAAGTAACAATAAATTGTTGGATGCAGATTTATCCGGAGGTTCAACTTAAAAATATTTCCATTTTCTGTTTGTTATCAACGATTGCAGAGGAAACGAGAAATGAAAAAATAAATAGGTATAGCACTAGGCCGTGCAATATTTATTAAATGTAGACCAAGAGAAGTACAGTATGCATACTTTCAAAGCTTAGATCATGCCAGCTGGTCCGAACAGCATGTTTGCGTGTGCACTTCGGGCTCATCGGGGCAATTATTTACTGATAAAGTAACTAGAAATGAACTAAACGTTCAGACAAAGTGAATTCTATCTATAAACACCATAAACAAGCGATCCTGACGTCCCGGCCTGACGGCAAGTCATGGTGTGAAGTTTGGAAATTTGTGTACTGTATCTTCTGGCTTTTTCTTCCAATGTCTGCACTCCCCCCATTGTTTATCTTTAATTTTAAGATTTTACATCCAATATCTGTACTCCCCCGATGGGTTGTCTTTTTAGACTTTAATGTCACTATTTTTATAAGATAACACGCGCTTTTCAATGAGCAGTTAATCTTTGCGATATACTGATTATAGATTGTCACATTAATTATTAAATTGAAGTAGATCTTCTGCTACAAATAGCATCATGAAGAATAAAACCCCATCTAAAGCTTCTAAACGATTTGCATATTAAAAAAACTTAAGCTACCCTCATTGGTTAATAGTCTGACCCACTGACTTAAGCCTGTATATCATTATGAACCCAATCACCCGTGACGGTTACGTGATCGATGTTCGATTATTCCGGGATCTTGTAGGTTTCCGGTACTCACAGGTATCTCATCTCGATAACGATTAACAAATGCTGTTGTAACTTATTTATTCTTTATTTATGCTTTCATCTGCAACCTGGATTCACAATCTTGGACGTCTTTGAGATAATTCTCGCCTCTAAGTGTTGTTGTGTTCCCAACTCAAGAGTATCCGCGAAGGTGATCCCGTATTAGAACATCAGATTGTGCGATCCAAAATATGAATCTAGAATATAGTAGTTGTGATCCAAATGTTGAATGTTTCAGAAGGTGATCCCAATCCAGAATTCAGAATGTTTGATTGTGAATCCGTGGTTGCTTATATACAAGTAAAATAACATAAATCATTCTGTCAGGATTGCGCAATAACAGGCAAAAGTTGTGCAATAATTGCACAATCGCCCACACATATTGCATCAGAAACCTGTTCAAAACCTGCTAAAAGCGGTTACTGATATATTAGTTCCACCTGACAGAATAAGCTTAAAAATAGAATCTTGTACTATAATTAGCTCAACCGGTTTAAACTAGTATCAAGTTATCAAGTACAATCTCAGGTGTCAATCAAATATTAACTCCATCGACTGCTACCTGGTTGAACCAACATAATACAAAATAGTAACAATTACTATTAGATTCTTTACAATATTGGTATAAATATCAATGATATCAAAATGAATATCAATGATATTAAATGATATTATAAATTAATTAATTGACTAATTAATGTCAAAAAGTGAGTGGTAACAACCACCCCTCCTTAAATTTTAGTGCCCCACTAAAATATGTCATTATCATATAAATCAATTGTCTGATATGGCATATAAAATGTCTCATATCCTCTTCATTTAGGCTGTATTGTAGAGCATCTCTCTTGGCTGCGCTATAGAGCGTCTCTTGATATATGTGCTATCAACTCTGCTTTCAGCGTTCATATATCACTTGTTGTTGACGGTAATTATATATCACTGCTTCAGCGTTTATATAAATATCATTCCGCGTCATTATAATATAGTCTTGCTTGGCTGTTAATATTCTGCATCGTCCGCAAATCTAGGCATTTATTAACGTCTCTAGATTCACCTCTGTATTCTCCTTAGCGTTCGTGAAATAGGCACTATAGTAGCTGGTGTCTCTATATTCACAAGTTTCATAAATTCTCTCTTTAGCGTTCGTGAAATAGGCACAAATAACTGGTGTCTCTATATTCACAAGTTTAATAAATTCTCTCTCTCCTAAGCATTCGTGAAATAGGCACAAATAACTGGTGTCTCTATATTCACATGTATTATCCCCATTGTATAGATGTCGTTGGGTATATACTGCACTGGAGAGCGTCCATATATATTATATAACCCAAACGGAAATCCAGTTTAACGCGAATTTCCATACATCAGCTGCTAGTTGAATATTGCAGTGACATCTATCGTCATCGTCGCCATCTTCTCCTAGGCATCAATGGATCATCGGCATCAGATCAGATCAGATCATCCAAAGATTAATATAATTATTGTATGTTTCACACATATTAGTATTTTTATTTCATTTTTGATAGTATTAGTATTTTATTAGATTATAATATAATAATATTATTAATGATATCATGCAACTACTATATGACATGATGCATTATCATATGTACATCCTCATCTTGCAACCTTAACTTCTCAACTTATCACTTATCATCTTAAAATTTATTACGCCATCTATAAATGATGGTCTTTAACTTTCAATATATGCCCTTTACAAAGCATCTCAGTTATGGTGCTTGAGGTAGTTGTGTATTTCATGCGATATATTTTCATTTTAGTATATTATTGTATACACACATAATATTAATTGATTATATAGATTATATAATATCATATTAGATTATTATTTACATCTTATCATATCGATCAATTAATTATTTACACCTGTTTTCTTATCTTAAATTACCGGGAGATGTGCATTAAAATGTTAGCCATTTGAGTGGGTCTCTTCTGTGCACCGGACTGTATCTCCCCGAAAGGATATTAACTTTCAAGTCCACTAACGCTGCTGACCCAAATATTAAAAGCATTAGTTGTTATATATATCTTAAAGCAATGGACCGCACATCTCCTTTAAACAATAAACATCCATTTATGAATAACCTTATAATGTTATCCCTAAAATTCATTAATCACACTTCATGGTCATTAGATCAGAGCTCAAATTAACAACCGGGCAAACATGTAGTTCCCCGCATGTATCAATCATTATACTGTACATTCTTTATCATTATCATATTTATATTTTACTTATTCCTCCTTTTCACCTGCGATAATATTAATGCATTCAGGCATTCTTTATTTCAATTATCGCACCGCGAATACTGTTATGCAATCTATGATCTTAATGCATTTAGGCATTCTCAATTCATAGTAATTCATTCCATTGCATAATTGTTAACAGTATATTCATATCTATATATTTTCATGTCCTATTGCAGTATTTATTCTTCCTTTTTACTTCTCATACTAGTATATCATCTCATACGTCATCTTATTTTCTTCATCTCATATATCATCTTCATTTTC